ATGAACACTCTCCTCTCTGGGTCCTTCAGTTTCATGTGGCTGGGTTGTTTCCACAAGGCCAAGAGGAGAGGGTTGAGTTACACAGAACTGGGGCCAGACTTGGGCTGCGGGGGCTGATCCGGAGCACTGGGCAGAAGAGGTCTCCCCACGGCGAATGTAGCAGCTGCTCCTGAGGCCGTGCCCCTGAATCTGCCCCAACAGTGACAGCCCTGGGACTGGTAGTCGGCCCCTGTGCATCCCACCCCCAAATCTCTCTGCCGAACTGTCCCATTGTCAGCTAGACCTTCCTGACCACTAGAGATAAAACGGCAGGCACCCTGGGCCCATGATGCCCTTGCTTCTGTAGACTGTGGACATGGCTCCATGTTAACTGTGATTCTAGAGTTCTGGGTCCCCGGAGCTTGGTCTAGAAGGGACGGGTGGGGTTGTGGGCTCCAGGTGGGTACCTAACCACAGACCCCTGTCTTGACTCCTTACCCCTAAACTAGGCCAAGACCAGAAAGAGCACGCCAGGGGGCTTTTAAAGTGCCAGGCCCAGGGCAGGGCCCCTCCTCCCCAGCTCTATAGGTGACACTGAATGGCAGGTCAGGGCTGGAGTCCAGCTCTCAGCCTGTGTCCTCCACCCACGCCTGGACATGAGGCTCGCTGGCTCCCCCTCCTGGGGCCTCTGGAACTCACCAAGGGAAAGAAGATAATTTCTCTTGGTATCCGAGTCTCTGGCACCAAGAAAGCGACCACTAATGTTTAATGAATGAAAGACTAAACAGGGATAGTGGGAAGAACAGGAGCTTTGGAGGCAGCGGGCCTAGAATCCAACCACCTGAGCTTCAGTTTTCTCACCTGTGAGGTAGGAAGAGGGATGCCGCCTCATCTGGCCTCTGTGTGCTAGGGACAAAGAAGCTTGCCAGCATATGAGAGCTACATATTTAGGAATTTCACAAGCCAGTTGTCAGAGCCAGAGACTGTTAAATAACATAGGCTCAAACAATGTGCCAAGCCCTACAGAGAGCTAAGAAGACAGCCCTGCTGCCCCCAGATTTGAAAGAAGTTTCAGCTTAATGAATATAATTTGTACTAGGGCGAGAATTAGTTTAACAGTAGATCGCTTATCAGATTGAATGACAACACAATTTCAATTCATTGGAAAAAGAATTGCCTTCTTTTGTCATGATTTGACAAGTGAAGCTGGCAGGTAACCTCCCTTGTCAAATCATGGTTGAACCCAAACTGTAGGTTAGCAGTGAACCTGAGTATTGGTGAAACTCACTTGTGATAATCAATCAACTAGACTGACTTTTTTAGAGTTGACTCTTTTGCTGTGTGTAAGTCGTGTGTTTCCCATCCTCTGTCGAGTGCGTAGGAAACACGTACATACATGTCAGAGCTGTTGCTAAACGTTCTCCAGCACGTCACTAGCGTTCTCCTAGGCCTTTTCTGGGACTTTTGCATTTTCCAAGAGAAAACCTAAAGGGGACTTTTAATCCAATTCATCTAACCCTGTTCATTCTTTCATTCAACAAATTTTTGAGTCCTTTCCTGGTGCCAGCCCAGCTCCCTGCGTTAGAGATAGAGCAATGAACAATAGAAGACCTCTCCCCTCTCAGGGGCCCCAGGGGAGGACAGAAGGAGAGTGAAGGATGGAGTGTGGGGATGGCTGGACAGTGAAGGGGAACCCCAGGGAGAGGGGAGAGGTGCGGAGGCAGTGCTGGGGCCAGCCCTGCCAGGGCTGCTCTCCACGTGGCCCTGTTCTCTTGTTCCAGTGTAGGAACTCCAAGTTCAGATCTGGCCTTGCAGTTTTTAAAAGGTATATTTGTTTCAGTAGGAAGACAGAACGCACTTGAGCTATCTGTTTGTTAGGAGGTGGGTCTCCATTTGAGCCCTGCTTGCTGATCACATAGGGGATTCAGTGTGCCCATCTGAAGAGCCAGACGATTGTCCCTGCCTTCCAGCTCTGACCAGTTAGGGACAACAGCCAGGAGAGCCAGGGCACATGAGAAACCCAGACAGAAAAGGAATGCAGGGTACGGTGGTGCATGCTGGTTGAAAGGAAAGTGACCACAACACTCAGAGCAACCAAAAGATCTTTATTGCAGCAGTGCAACAAAGAGAAAGGAAAGAAGGAAAGAGAGAGAGAGAAAAGAGAAGAGATGAACAGGGAGAGAGCAAGAGCAAGAGAGACAGAGAGCGCGCGTAAGAAAGATAAAGAGCAAGAGGGAGAGAGCAAGGGAGAAAGAGCAAGAGAGAGGGGGGCCTGGCAGGAGGGAGTTTTTATAGCCCAAATCTAATGGGGCCTCTGGGTCTGCAAGCTGCCTTGTTGGCCCAAGGGGGGGTTAAGTGTTCAGCCTTGAGCGGGACTTGACACAAACAGGTGATAAAGGACTAGATAGAGGGGGATTTGAGTGTGTGGGCTATCTTGCAGCCAACATCTGTTCAGCCTGACCTGCAGACAACACAGTTCAGCCTGCTCTGCACCCAACACTGGTAATTCCTGCAACTTGGGAGGCTGAGGCAGGAGGATAACAAATTCAAGCCTCAGCAACTTAGCTAGACCCTGTCTCAAAATAAAAAATAAAAGGGAGTGTGGGTGGTTCACTAGTAGCACACCCCTGGGTTCAATCCTCAGTACCACACACACACACACACACAAAGCAGGGTAGCCGTGAGGACACCAGGAACCACACCAGGAAGAGGACTGAGGGTCTTTATTAAGGAACACAAAGCCACCCTAGGCCTGGGCGACGGGGTTGAGGGATGTACTCTGCCTAGTCTCCACCCCACCCTGCTGTCCCGGGACGGAGGCAGTGTTGCCTGTTGGACAGAGCTCCACTTCAGGGGTCACGCTGCTTAGGTGAGGTTTGAGGCCACTCTAGGATGGCCTCACACCTGCCCAGCAGGAATAGACAGTGCCCGTCAGAGGGTGAGGATTAAACAAGGGCTGGGGTGATGTGCTCAGCAATGGGAACTGCCCTTGTTATTTCTGTTACTAGTTAGCAAGTCCCTAGTCCAGGCCTCTGAGGATCCACCCAGGTGTGAAGGCAGTAGAGGAACAGATCGTGGAGCCCAGGCTGGAAGGCCAGGGCCAGGGTCCCAGAGCACCTCCAGAGGGCAGCCCACCCTCAGAGTCAGGATCCCAGTCTGCCAGCCTGGGACCTTTCCCAAGCTCCTGACTGGCTTTCTTCAGCTTCCAGGGCTTGGGAACCACAGGATAGTCTTGTTGGATTGTGGAATACTGTAACTAGCGCAGCCTGAGCTCTGGCAGCTACTTCATCTTGCTAAGTATCAAGAAAGAAAGGGCCGCAGGGCAGAGTCACCAGCCACCTAGGTTCAGAGCCTGGGGCGCCTCCGGGCAGTTCCCCTTGAAGGCTTGGAAACCAGGCCCAGGCTGTGTCAGAGGGCAAACAGCTTCAGGGGCCAGCAGCCTGGAGGCCCAGGGCTGGGCCAGGCACTCAGAAATGCCCTCAGCTGCAGTGGTAGTAGCAGTAGTAATAATAATGATGATAGTAAATCGTTAAACATGAGAGTCACTTGTTGCCTGGAGGGATTTCCTCTGAGTCTGGCTGCCCGGCTGTGGGTGCTAGCCCTCCCTGGGAAGCCCGGGAGGTATTTCAGTTAGCTGTGGGAAGGGAGAGAAAGGGACTGAGGAAGGAAAAGGAGGAGTGAGGCAGGGTTGCCACATAAAATGCTGGACACCCTCTTAAATTTGAACTTCAAATAAACACAAATATTTTCTTAGTGTGAGTATATTCCATGCAAAACTTGGGACATACTTACACTAAAAATTCACCATTTCTCTGAATTCAAATTGAACTTGGAAGTTTTGTGTTTTCCTTTGCTGTATCTGGAAACATTAGTTGGGGATAAGTGTGAGGAGGGGGCCAAAGGAAGGGGAAAAGAAGTGTGAAGGAGGGCTGGGGTGCAGCTAGGACCTGGGTTCCATCCCCAGTACTGCAAAAAAAGGGGGCCCTGGGTCCCAGGGAAGAGGGCAGAGGAGGGGTGGGTGGAGAGTGAGTGAACACAGCTGGTCCTCCCTCCTGCTGTGCAGAATACAAGGAATGCTTCTCCCTGTACGACAAGCAGCAGAGGGGCAAGATAAAAGCCACTGATCTCCTGGTGGCCATGAGGTGCCTGGGAGCCAGCCCGACGCCTGGGGAGGTGCAGCGGCACCTGCAGACCCACGGGATAGGTGAGTGGGCTGAGTGGGCTCCAGGAGGGGCGAGCGGGTGGCGCAGAGGGTGGGGTGTGTAGGGCTTACAGGTTAGAGAGGCAGGGGGCAGTGAACCTCCCAGGAGGCAGCTGGCCAAGTGCACTCTGCCTCATCCTCAAGGCAACGGTGACACCCCACCTTGCAGGGGCCCTGGGTCTGGCCATTCCACCAGGTTTATCACAGACCTATAGAGCAACAGTGCTGCCAGTGATCCCAATGTTGTTTTTATAGAAAAATGTCCCTTTGGTGAACATCTACCAAACGCTTAGCTCAAATCACCCCAAGAGGGTAGCTGTCCTGATTCTACTCTGCAGGCAAAGATCAAGACTCACAGCCATAGGTAACTTGCCCAAGTACTTAAGCCAATGGTAGAATCAGGATTGGAACTCAGTTCTTTTAATTTCAAAGACTTTCCTGAAAACCATGCATGACTGCTAGGAAACTGGAAGAAAACCCTTTTGAAAAGTGGTTCTCTCTGGTGATAGGATTAAGGCTGGTTTTCATTCCTTTTATTGTTCCCTGTATTTTCAACAATGGGAACAGATAGGTCTCTTATCAGAAACAAGTTTTGTGGTTTCTTTTTTTTTTTTTTTTTAAGTTTTAGTTATCAATGAACCTTTATTTTATTTATTTCTATGCAGTTCTGAGAATCTAACCCAGTGACTCACATGTGCTAGGCAAGCGCTCTACCACTGAGCTACAACCCCAGCCCCTTTGTGATTTCTTTGGGAGATTTGTTTTTAATTTTATTTTTAAAGTCTGGGGTGTCTATTTACATTGGGAGCTGGATGCCCAGGAAGGAGGGACTGGCCTAGAGGAAGAAGTGGCCAGCTTCCAGCATTTAACTGGAGCCCCCAGGTCACCTCTCAGTCTCAGGTTCTCAGCATCTGTTGGGGCACTAGAGGTCACATTAGCACACCTGCAGCAACGAGCCCTGGGAGCCATCCTGGGGCAGGTCTTGGAGGGCCAGAGCCTGGTGATAGGGCACTCAGTGGTCTCATTTTCAGCTCTGAAGGAGTGGTGGTTTTTGTCTCCTCTAAACAGGAAGTTGTGGTCAGGGGAAGTTCTGACTTCCTGCTGTTGTGGCCAGGCCAGTGTGTGGGCGGAGGCTTCCGGACATGCCTGGAGGGGGCTGCAGGGAGGGAAAGGCACGAGAGCAGGTGGGGAAGGACCTGAGGCTTGAGCTGGGGGCGGGGCACTTATCCCTCCTCAGGGACCTGCTCTGGTGGCAGAAGTGTGTGTGGGGGGGACACATGGACCCAGTTCCTTCCAGTTCAGGGGAGGAGGGAAGCACCAGAGGGAAGCTGAGCAGCTGGTGATGACTGTGACTACACACTACAAACTTCTGTCCCCTGAGGGGGCAAAACGAGGGGATGATAACCATGGTCACCAAGGGTCACTGGGTGGATGAAATGAAGACTATCCAGTCCAGGAGCTGGTCCATGGTGGGAACTCAGTAGTGGCGGCTGTGTCTTCTTCACCATGACCACTGTCACCATTGTGAACCAGGTGGAGCTGGCGGTGACGAGGGTGCAAGGAGGTAGGTTGACTTCCCCAAGAGCCTTTCCCTCCCTGCTCACTCTGCTATTTGGGGGTTTCTTAGACAGAAATGGAGAGCTGGATTTCTCCACTTTCCTGACTATTATGCACACGCAAATAAAACAAGAGGATCCAAAGAAAGAAATTCTTCTGGCCATGTTGATGGCAGACAAGGAGAAAAAAGGGTACATCATGGCATCCGAGCTGCGAGCGAAACTCACGAGACTCGGAGAGAAGCTCACCCAGAAGGAAGGTAATTAATTGCCTGACCAGGCTCCCAACGTCAGCAGAGGGTTAGGGAGTTGGGGGAGTTCACCAAAGTACCATCAACGCCACCATGGTTGTACAGGCTTCTGTAGTTGATACACAGCTGCAAAGCCCAAGAGCAGTCACACTAGCCGGGGACTGGTCTGGGCCCAGTGGTCAGGGTGGAGGGTCAGCCTGGGGAAAGCCCAGCTTGGATCCACTTGGGCAGCAGGAGAGTGGGACATCTGCCCCGCCTCATGCTGTGCCTAAGCTCACTGGATCTTCATTTAGTGCACAGGACACCTGGGGAACATGAGTGTCCCTTTACCTGATCAAGAAACTGATGAGGCTGGGCGTGACCACATACGCCTCTAATCCCAGCAGTTCAGGAGGCTGAGGCAGGAGGATCGAGAGTTCAAAGCCAGCCTGAGCAAAAGCAAGTTGCCAAGCAACTCAGTGAGACTCAGTGGCTCAGTAGTCGAATGCCCCTGAGTTCAGTCCCCAGTACACCACTCCACCCCCCAAAAAAAGGAGCTGACAGGGGCTGGGATTGTGACTCAGCGGTCGAGGGCTTGCCTAGCACGTGGGAGGCCCTGGGTTCGATCCTCAGCACCACATAAAAATAAATAAATAAAACAAAGATATTGTGTCCAGTTACAACAACAAAAAATAAATAAATATTAAAAAAAAAAAAGAAGCTGATAAGTGAGTGGTTGTGGGTCAGCGGAGCTGGGAGCTGGATGGAGGTTGAGTGCTGTCCCCATATCACAGCCAGCTGAACAGGGCTGCAGCGTGCTTTCCAAATGGAAATGCTACTTTGCTACTGACTGGAAGATTTAGAGTTCAAGAAGGGGCCTTTGCAGGGTCAGGTGGAGAAGAGACCTTGCCTCACACCTCCCAGCGGCCCGTGTGCCTTCCTGCCTTGGAGCAGGACCAGAGGCCTGGGCCTTGGGCCTTCTGGGAAAGCCCTTTGTACATGGTAATGAAAAACCCCATACTGATCCATCTGTGGGTATTCTTCCTGCCTCTCAGCACTAGTTGGTAGTCCCTGGGTCCTGCCTCAGCTGGCATCCCTGGGAGGCCAGGGTTTCTACTTAGGCAGCTCAATTGTCAGCGACCATCTGGATAGGAAGGCTAGGCTTGGCCACAGTGGGTGTAGGAAAAGGGCTTCAGTAACAACCGACCATCAGCCTTTGGCCAAATCCCAACAAACACTGCAGGGGGTTCGGTTCCCCCTCCTCTCTGGGGACCTCCCATAGGTTCCTTACTCCCTGGAAATGAGGTAGTAACCATCCCTCAGGGCCCTCCAAGAGCTCACATTCTATAAACCCTTCTGCTCAGATTTCATCTGCCTTCACAAAGGCACAGAGCAAAGCATTTAAAAATAGCGCTCAGGCAGGCAGATTCCTCTTCCCCCGCGTTCTCAGGCTGGCAGCTATCACAGTCTCATCTTTCATTGTGGCTGTTTTCAAGTGAACAGGGGGAATCGTGGGCTGTCCTCAACCTCCCAGGCTCTGAGGACACTGCTGGCCCTCCATGTGCCAGGTGGAGTGTCAGCAGAGAGAGCAGGGGGTCCTGATTCTGTGGTTAATGATCTCTGGTCAAAGCAACACCATGGCCCCCAAACACACATCTCTTATTTGTTTAACCTGCAAAGAACATTTCAAAGAAAGTGGTGGAGACCAATTTCCTTCCCACTTGCTGTGGGAGAAAGGATGATAACAGAAGTAGGAATCCTTTTTTTTTTTAGTTGTAGTTGGATACAATACCTTTATTTTATTTATTTATTTTAATGTGGTGCTGAGGATTAAACCCAGCGCCTCGCACGTGCTTAGGTGAGCGCTCTACCGCTGAGTCACAACCCAGCCCCAAAGAAGTAGGAATCTCTTATCCTTGGTGATTGAAAAAAAATATTCAGTTTTATTGAAGAGAGGCCACAGTGGAAAAGGATAAACTGAATGGCTCTTCTTGCCAGTGCCTGGGACAAGCTACTATTTTATCTCAGAAGTCTAAAGCCAGAGGGGGGAGATGCAAATGAAGTTTTTTATTTTATTTTTTAAGCAAGGCAGAATTAACAGCAGTTTTGCAAGATTTGAGCCTTACACACTGTTAGATTTATTTTCCCAGGCCCAAAATACATATCTTTTCTTTATTGGTGTAAGGCACGTGCTCTACCCATGAGCTGCACCCCTGCCCTACGCTTTTCTTTAGAGGTGGTGGTAGCAGAAGCGCTTATCACTAGGCCCTCCTGGCATGGAGGTATCTTGGGGAGGAACATTGACATGGAGGAGTGGGGAGGTGAGGGGCAGCTGAAGCCTGGGTGGCTCTGTCCAGAAAGGAGCTGCAGAAAATACCTATGGTGGCGGGCAGAGGGGTGGGTGATAGCAGACAAAATGTCTGGGCCAACTCTCTCTCTAAACCAAGGCTCAGAGGTCTGAGATCTTCTTCACAAGAAAACAAGAGGTGGGGGCTGGGGCTGGGACTCAGGAGCAGAGCACTTGCCTGGCATGTGTGAGGCACTGGGTTCGATTCTTAGCACCACATATAAATAAATGAATAAAAATAAAGGTCCATCAACAACTAACGAAAGAATATAAACACGAGGTGGCTTCAGTGACTGGATTTTCGCCAGGATTCCTGCCCAGCCCCTGGCAAAGCCTGAAAACCAAACCAGTGGATTCCCAGATGGGAGTGGGCAGGTTGTCGTATGTTCTGGTTTACTCCCTGATGTACAAGAAGTTCCCTGGACGCTCAGGGAAGACCTTTGGGGAGCCCCAACCTCCAAAGAAGTGTCTTATAACCCCAAATCCAAACAAAAATTTCATGTGATTTATTGCAGTGGAGGATCTTTTCAAGGAAGCAAATATTGAACCAAATGGCAAAGTGAAGTATGACGAGTTTATCCAGAAGATCACCCTTCCTGTGCAGGACTACTGAATGAGCAGAGTACAAGAGAGCATCCCTGGGTCTGAAAACCTGGACTGGTTGATTTTTTAAAAGGAAAATGTTCCTTTAATTCTAGGGTGATGGCAAACACCGTGCAAAGACAACATTAGCAGGGCATAAGCAGCAATAAGTAATTCCAGCCATGGTATCAGCATGTCTTTAATAAAAAGATTTGTATTACCAGGTGCGGTGGCACACACCTGTAATCCCAGTGGCTCAGGAGGCTGAGGCAGGAGGATCAAAAGTTCAAAGCCAGCCTCAGCAAAAGTGGGGAGCTAAGCAACTCAGTGAGACCCTGTGTCTAAATAAAATGTGAAATAGGGCTGGGATGGGGCTCAGTGGTCCTGAGTTCAATCCCTAGTGCCTCCTTTCCCACGAAGATTTGTGTTGATTTCAGTAGCTCTCATGAGTCCAGCCCTTCCTGTTGGTTTAGTCAGGCCTACATTCCAGTCCTGGGTCTGCCACTTACCAGCTCTATGATTTCATCCCTGAGGGCCTTAGGGTTCAGACAAAGCCTGGATCTCTAGTCTTACCTCACGGAGCCCATTGAGGAAGGATGGAGATAGATAGGGCCTTGAAAATGCACACAGCCTGAAGGGCATGTGGAATCCGAGTTCCCATTACAGCGTTTCTCCTGAAGAGGGCAGGCTACCCAGAAGCGCGCTCTGTATTTGGGTGCTAGAACCACTTTCCACATTTTCAAGATAGAGCCAGTGCTAGCTGAGAAATGGCAACAAGCAGAGTGAAAACACACACACACTCTTCTTGAAGCACCACAGACCCACTCAAATTCTCCTCTCCTTTTCGACAGAGTGATATGGTTCAGGACACTCATTTATCAACAGAGAACAGGGTAGCAACACTCTCAGAATGTTGAGCTGTGCACTGGGCTCTGTTTGCAGGCACAGAAGTTCCAGAAAGTAGGATGATGTGCTCAAGTGACCTAAACTGATCATAATCTTAAGCTGGGACTAACATGGAGGATGTCACTAAGAGGTGTCTTCCGGGTCATGGCCATGGTTGGAAAGATGGCTGGAAACAGTTGTGGGGCAACAGTCCTTCTGGGAGCACTTCCAGCTCAAGTAACTTTGAGTTACACAGTCATGAGTGGCAGGCGGGGCTGCCTAGGACTCAGAGATGTCCATGCATTTGTCAAATTGAGGGCCTAGGGATACTGTTGGCACAGTCCTAAAAAGGGCAGGAGTAACACAGCAGCATGGGTGGGGGACAGACCCCCTAGCAGGAATATTTTTATCTATTTTTTAAAATTAGGCTGTGGCTGAAACATCAGAAAACCAGATTATGAAGGGGGAATGTCTTTTGGAAGGTTATATATGACACTGATCTTTTACTAAAGGTGAGGCACAGGTTAAGTGCAACCATCTCATCCATGTTGCATGGCATCAGACCCAACTGAGGTTCTGAGAAAGGAGGCTATCATTTCCCCAATAGTATAATTGCCAAGGGGAGTTGAGCAGAAATGCCCTAGCTGTAAATAAGTGTTTTTAGGGTACCGGGGAGGCAAGAAATGGCCCAAATACCAACTAAATGAATTTGTGATCATCCAGCTGGGGAGTTGGGACCACCCATTCAGGAGCAGATGTAGGTTTTAAGGGATTTGAGGTTTTTATGACTTGGTGGTTGTCTTTAATAAAACAGAAATAGTCAGGTGCAGTGGCACACTCCTATAATCCCAGCAACTTGGGATGCTGAGACAGGAGGACCAAAAGTTTGAGGCCAGCCTCAGCAAGAACTTCATCAATTTAGCAAGACCCTATCTCAAAATAAAGAGGCCTGGAGAGAGGGAGAGGGGGCCAGAGAAAAAAAGAGAGGGAGGGAGGGAGAAAGAATACAATACACAATTTCTGGAGCAGCACTCAGGACCCTGGAAGAGGTAAGAGCAAGTCAGGGTACTGAACACTTAAAACTTCATTATCTAAACAGTAAATCCACTTGAAGGCACACTGAAAGTTGGCCTCCAAGAAAGATCTGCTATATTTTACTGTTAGGCAAGGGTCCCAAACAAACACTTCTTTTAAACTCTGGTCACCAACATTAGGAAGCAAAACCAATCTGGAATACCAAATCTAGCCAGGTGATAAATACTGATGGAACAGGAAAAGGAAATTCTGAACTATAATAATAAAGCTCTGTTCTATTTATCACTGGCCAGAATATGGTTTTAAAGCAAGTTCTAGGAATCTCCTTTGCCTAACAGAAACATGAAGTATAGCTTGCCAAAGCACGCGGTGGGCAGGGTGGTCATCAGAACCCCTGCCTCATGGTCCTTATCAAGGGTCGGGGTGGCTGGCAGTCAAGTTCCTATGAAATTACCTCAGCCCCAGGAGAGGCTTTTAGCTCCCTCAGTCCTGGGTTTCATGCTCATTCCTGAAATTCCGATTGGCTTACCTGGCACCTGGTGCTTTTAGAAAAACAGTCACAGTGTTCTCAGCAAACTGCAGGTATTAAACAGATTTAAAACTAAAGAAATGCTGTGGTTCATTACAAAGCTTGCCATATTTCAATAAGAAAGGGAAACGGTGGCCATGTATTAATTACTTACCTCAAAGCAGCTGCAAGCCTATTAGGTGCTCATCATGCTTTGAAATTCGGGATGAAAGGGGCTTTGGAATCACAAAGCACTGTCACTTTTCTCATTGGGACTGTCCCCTGGTCCACCCAGTAATATTATTTTACAGAAGACAAATTAACTGAAGGCTTTTCTTTTATTACATCTAAAGAGCTCTACATAAACAGGTAACATTCAATAGGTAAACAATTTTTTTCCAATGCAAGTAATAAATATTTTCACTTGGTACTTTTATACAAACTGACATTGGTCTACTATACATTTTTAAAAGCCATTTTACTGGTTTGGCATGCGGTATGGAAATCCTAAGAGAGAAAGTCTTAAGGCAATGAATCACAGATTTAAGTTCATGGAATTTATGGTAACTTTTATATCTGTTTATATACATTTTCCCCTTTGTTAATTAAACAACAGCAGCACACTTTGGGACCACCAGCTAGTCTCCCTCCCTCTTTCTGAAATCTAAGTTTTGTGTTTAATTAAAAAACAGAATTCAACATGTACTTACAAAAAGAAATTCTTACTAAAATAAATGCAAACGTGCTTTAAAAAGTCCTGAAGATCCTGAAAGTTTTATGTACTTGAAATTGTTTTAGAAACAATGCCTTTTCCATATTTATTAATTTACAGCTGGGATATATTTTCAATTTCACACACTTGTTTCAAAGGAAAATCTACCCAAGAAATCACATCTTTCAGAAGCATAAATGAATCTTAAGTCAGTAATGATATAGAATTGTGATACTCTAAATCAATAATAGAAAAAATTTAATGCTCAAAACAGTCAACCAAGTGTGGCATGGTTAAGTATCAGACTTTTTAAAAAAAGAGATGTGTCCAACAATGCCCACATAGCAATTAAAAGCCACTTCAACCCTGCCAAACAGCTATTTTCTGTGTGTATAGAGCTCTCTCCAGATGTGTACACACATGCAGCATTGCACAGAAGCAAGGATATGTGCACCTATCATGAAAGACCAAGGCAAAGGGGCTGTAACAACTGGCTTCAAGATTTGAGAAACTCTATTTGTCCACAGACAGCATAGCAATGTTGGCATGGGTTGGGGAGTGAGTGTGGGCTGAGGCAAAGAGAAAAGTGGCTTAACTTCTTTTAAAAAATTAGGAAAAGGGTGTAGTGCATGACTCAATAATTTTTACAAATCATGAAAGTCTGACTGACTTATAACGAACATGAAACCAACAAGTGATAACTATTACTTAATGCAACATCTTAAAAAGTTAACAACTGAAGGAAACGAACTCTTCAGAGTGGAATGAACTATAAAGACAACTGAATGGTTGGTTCTCCTGTGGGGACATGACCAAAGCCACTGGACAGACATCTATTTCTCCCTATTACCTATTCTTCCCTTAGATTGGTATAATAAAGGGCATGGAGGGAAATTAACCCCTTCCAAAATTGGGCCAAGGAAAGCAGAGGTACGGGTTTTCAACTAGATCATTCAAAGAGTTTATAATTCAGCATCGTACACAAAGTTATTGATCGGAATTTTGAGACCACTAACAACAACAAAAAAAGGAGAGAAAACAGAAACAAAACCCCAAAACAGGAATAAAGAAAACTATTCACTTAACCTATGGTAGTTGAATAGAAATGTTTTCTATTCACAATGTAAAATCAGAAACAGTGCTCTACAATTTTAGTAATTTCTACCCTAATCCAAATTTAGACACAAATTATGATACTATCCAAAATTAGTCTAAATTAATATGGTAATGAAAGTTCTTAAAGTGTTCACTCACCACAACTCCAGATTCATTTAAAAACTTAACTATTTCTTGTTTTAACTGACAATAAATTTTCTTTTATTGCAAATTGTTTTGTGACTATAACTCAGCCACTAATGTGTGGAATACACATGCGTAGGGGAAGACTATGTAACTCACTTGTTACTCACACATACTTGTTTATAAATACATATATACACACACACACATATACATATCAACACCAACTTTTTTTCAAAATTCAAGTCAACAATTTAGTAAGAGAGATGCTGTAAAAACATATTATTTTTAGATGCCACACAGTCATGTGAACCATTAATTTTATCATACAGCCAAAAGACATAGCCATCTTGAATTCTACCTGGATTGAAGTAGGTCAGAGTTACCAATGCAAGGTTGAAATTGACAAGTTTATACACAAAAGTGGTCCTTCATCAACTCTGAGAATATTAACAGCTGTGATATAAAAACCCAGTCTGGAAAACTGGCAATCATTATCTTTTCTGTTAAACCTGTACTCTCAATCAACTGAAATACATTTTCCATATCTGAGAACATAATATCTTCTCTGATGAGGATTTTGGAACACAAGTAAAACCACTTTTCCTTCCCTTCAACATTTACTTATCTCCTGAAAAACAGTTTTCAATATATTTACATGTTCCACTATTTAGAGCAGATCAGATCCATTCATGAATTAAAAAAAAAAAAATGACTTTCCTATGTCATGCTTGTCATTAAAAGATGAAGACAAAATAAACTAGGTAGATAGGTTAAGAACATAAGTACACTCACAGAGAATAAAAATGACTAAGGTTCAAATGTATTTTGAACCTTGTTTATCAA